GCCCTCCTGCCCCTATCCCAACGACTTTCGCCATAATAATTTAATTGCGGAAGTATCGACATCGACAATGACGACCATTCGAAAACGGCACCGTCGACCACCAGTTCCAGCTCTTACACATCCAATTGCGACTGTTGTCATTACAGTCATGTAATGTTTGAGTTGTCGTCCGTTTTGCCAACAGTCACTAGTCCTCCTCTACCGCATAAGCGACTCAAATTGATAAAGGACTTTGTACGGACTTTATATGAGCTTCCTGATCATCAACGTCTAGAAATTTTTCTGAATACATGAAAATATTGGTGGGTTGCCTTGCAAAGCTAGTTTACGACGTTGTCGGTGAACGTTGCGTATTGTGTCGCTCCTCCGATTTTCGCGTGAGTTACCGCACTGTCCATTGACAGCTGGCGGTCAAGGGGACTCGTATGTAGGCCACCGCCTCATGGCATTAAAACCAATGCAGTTCAGACCATCACCACAATGAACCAATTCGAACGCAAGCTAATGCATTTCGATCCGTAGGCATATGCATTGATTGAAATGCTCATGATATTTTGGTCTTCATAGCAAAAACGAGTTTTTCCTATCGCCGGCAGCTAAAGCAAGCACGACTCCTTTCATGTTCAGAAAAATTTTTTTTGATTCACTTAGTGCCTTTAGTCGTTGAAAAATTCCTTTTTTGTTGCCTGCAGTGTCCAATAAGAATCTTTCTAGCTTCCTTGATTAAAAACAAACGGATTAAATGATTTATAGAGCAGGTCAGTTCTTTGGATATCAGAAGCGGTGTGTTTTGTACGTTCTAAACGAACTGGCTACCGAGTCGTCAGATTTCTCAATTCTTTTCGACGTTTCAAGGTAGCGGGTTCAGAAGACTATTGGAATGATGCCGGTCCTTCACCACTCCAGCAAGCTGATGAACTGAATTAAAGGTGTAACGACACCAAGTGTTCATCGTACTCGAATCACCTGGTCCTGTGTCCGTTCTCGACTGCATCCTACGTTGCGCTTTGCAAGGAACGCCTTGGCTGCCTGGCGACTACGCCATCCTGACAACGGATTTATTTTAATGATGAATTGATTTATGTGACTGTGACTTGCCGTTAGTAATTTCCCGAAAGACGTCTTTTGAGCATACTACAGTAAACCTATTAAATGATCCTTTAGGCCGAGTTGGCGGAAGTGTTATGATCGAAGCGGATGAGCAATTCAGCCTTTCTGGTATTAAGAGATATGAGTAACACAGGACGCAAGGGTAGCGAGCAAAGAACTCAACGAGTACAAACTTTAGCTATGTATCTTTCCAGTCACAAAACAACAAGTCTATCGATAAGCACGATTATTCACTGGAGGCGCAAGCTTACCTCCATATGCGGATTGATCAACTCTATCAGTGACTAGCGGAAAACTGCTATGATAACTTTGATTCGGAGAGATGCAGGGTTTGCTTCAACTGGTTGGTTCAGTTCGATGCTCGCCACTGCCACTTTATACTAAGAGCAGTTCAACGCATACATTCTTCGCCTTGTTCAAAGAAGTTGAAACAGCCCCTACCCTTGGTGAGGTTGAGAGCCTGCCCCCTCCTAGCTGCACATTTTCACAGGGTACCTTGGCCTCCAGCGTCACTGTTATCAAGGACAAATTGTAAGATTAATCGCAAATCAGTTTAATCCGCAAATAGATATTCTGTCGCTGATATATGGTACTGTGTATCAAAGGATAGTCTAATCAGCAAGGAGGCATTATAAAAACCGGAGAGTAGCTCGACCTACGGTACTGAAACCGATTTTCGTGAAGTTCAACCGGCGTCAGGTTCGATCCGTCGAATTTTCAAGTGGCCATTGGGGAAAAGTAGCAATCATTATTTTCTATCTTCGTATTTTTGACAAAAAAATACATGGGCGATATGTGGCTATATTCTCGTCCATTTACGCCAAGATCCGAATATCGAATGATCTGGAGCCCAATGTATCATCGAAGGCACGCAAATCAGTCGATGCGCGACAAAATCATTCTGGCAGAGCGTCCAGGGCTTCAAAACACCAGCTAAAGGGTTGGCAGGAAGATCGGCACGAGTTGAAGCAATTTTCACTTCTTTCGTGAAGAAAATATTTCTGGGCGATTGCAGGTCTGTCTGTAGGATGCTTTTCTATGTTCAGTGTTACCATTCGGTATGGCGATCCCCGTTCTGGGTTCCCATAAGGTAACTGGATCGGTCTGCGATTATCGGAATATCATAACAGCTGAATCAAACAGCCCAATGCATACGTTATCCCTGTTAAGTAAACAAAATAAATCATGTATTTTTATGCCTTTTCATTTCCATCTTAGGACAACCTCCACAATATTTAGCATCTTCTCTTAAAGCTTCTCTGTGCGATGCATCTCACTTTTATGCATAGTTCTTCATCACCTCATAACAGTCCTTTCCTGGAATGTCCATCGAACTTTCCGTTCAACGAACAGAATCGATGGCGCAACTGGGCGGCGATGCACATCATCTGTAGGTTTACTTGATTCGCCCTTATACGCAGACAAATGTTACTTATATGAATGTACCCTGCTATAACCAGTAGCAAATTTAAACAATGAAGTACAAGAGTTTTAGCTTCAGCAAATTTGTGTAATTCTAGGTTTGCGCCTTCCAGCTAACGTGTTGCTACGTACTGCCGTTCTCCTAGTTAGTTTAGTGTGTTCCAATTGTATTTCGACGGTACAAAAACTTTTTCGAAACTTGATTATCCATCCGGAATCTTATCCCATCTGTTCCTTTTACTGATATACCAGCCTAATTGGTATCTTCAAAATTTTGTAAAATACATTTCTTGATTTTCGTTCACTCATTTGGGAGGTCATGTACCATAAATGTTGTTCTGTATGGGTGAGTAAGTATGATCAACACCTTTGACTAAGAGCTGTAGCCGTCTATAAGTCAATGAATCGAACATACAACTTTCACCAGTGCACCTGACAAATGAACTGCTTTCATGTGGCCAAACACTATTTAACGTAATAATGATAGGCATAATTTTGTTGATTGATTATTTCTTAAAAAATGTCACTAATAAATTTGCATGTGTATCTGCACCATCTCTTCCCGCTCGGTTCATATGGTTTAAGAAATCCTTTAGGACTTTAAAGACAAGGAAGGCACTGCCATTATCTCGAGATAAGCCAAAAAGGCAAACAGAGCGTACCCAGCAGAGTGACCCAGATTATTGATGTTTTGCAATGAGAGATGGTCTTCAAAATGATATAAGGCAAAGTCAACTGCTGCGACGGATCTCACATTTCTCTTCGCAAGCAAATCTGCCTCAACGACATGTTTCAACATTTTCTATTGTCCTCCTCGAGTATACGGCTAATTCATGGTTCTAAAACGAGAAAGGATTTGAAAATATTTCCACTCTCCTTTGAGTTCACCTGTTAGTTTACTCATAACAATTCTCGTCCTCTTTGTTCCTCCTTGAACCAATGGTACCATGAAATATGTACGTTTTAAAATATGTAGCAGACAGCATCGTTGGACGCAGTCTAGGCGAGCTTCGTGATGTTTCGAGACTGTACGCCAGCAAATACAGCTGGTTTGAGGAAGGGCATCCTTGTATCCGTCTTTAAAGTTCAATCCACTCATGTGTGGCACGGTTCGTTAAAATTCGCTGATGCTATTCCAGTACGCTGGCTGAGTTCAGGACCAGTGTCGCCGTCGTTAGCCAGAACAAATCTAAGATATTTGAAATGGTCCATTGTAATATCGTTCCAGAATGTCCTTTGGGTTGAGGTCACAGAGGCGTCCTCGTAATCCCTCCCTTTTGTGTTGATTTGTAGCCCCACTCCCAACACAGTAACCTAGTGTTTGTTAATGACCTCAGGTTTTAAACTGGTGAACTGCTGCTTGCTGCCATGTTACTTCGTATAAAGCACCCTGAGACTATCCCGGACTGCGGGTACTTAAAAGTGCAAAGTACAGCGTGGTTCAAGGTTTGGCATTAAACCGAATATAAAGCAACATTTCTTTTTTGACTCTGTTGCCATTCCTGCGTCCAGTGCCTTCCTTCTGTCGAGTTCCAGGTTCGATTTATGGTCAGTTCATGGAAGGTTATTGGATTTGCTAATAACTTTTTCACCTATCATACAGCTGCTTTTGGCGAGAAAGCGATAGCGACAAATTCTGTTAGAGTATGCCAACGTTTCTGTGAATCTGTTGTTTAAATGACGCCGCTATGATGCCAAACAGCCAAGGCATCGAACTAAACGAAGTGATGTAATTACGTTACGTTCCACTCTATCAAACCGGCATAACCGGACTACGACTATTTCTGACCAGCTCGTTGCATACCTCCTCTGGTGTATTCCTGCTATTCGTCTGACATTATTTCTACAGTTTATTTCAAGCTGTTTCTATGTCATCATTTTTCCTATGTGACAGCTAGTATCCTGATTGCTAGTGCACAACGCCGGGGTTATGTTTCGTCTGTAGATTTGTCTACGGATGGTGGCAGGTTCAGATGCGGCTCAAACGCCCCCTTGTGCAGCCCAACTCAGTGATGATGTCCTGCATTCAATATGTTACAGGTATTCAAATGCCATATAGCAGTAGCTTGCTTAAATGTACCCCCTCTATGACTGGAAGCAATGGAGGGCGCGTTCACGCCGAGTATCCCTATTAAAATTCGGTGTCAAAAACTGAAATGTTACGGTTACCGAAGAAATTGAAAAACTACGTGACAGCTACTCCGAAACTCTGGGATGTTTTTTTTTCTAGAAGTTTTTCACATATTCTTTTATTATTAAAAATGCAGAATCAAAGCAAGAAGCTAAGCACTCCTCGAGGAATTTTATCCGTGATATTACATATTTAAGTTTTATTACAGCGTTTGATAAATTCTGTTTTAATCCCAATTTAAACCTAGTCCTGTGAGTTAAAATCCAACGGGGAGTCAGCAGTCCTCCGTTACTTTGAAATTGTTATTCTTATTGCACGCACAGTTACAAAGCATTAGCAGCAAAATAAAGTAAATCAGATTTGTCACGTGTATGCATTAGAAAGGGCATCTCATTTATATTTATATTCAACAAGGGTTATGGTTCTCGTTGCGAACTGTTCCATCTTAATGATGTGCTTACAAGATTTGCATTGACCAGTAGAGGTTCCCATGAAAGGAACAGTTTGATAACATTTTTCCTGGACCGTTTAGATAAATCAGGTCAGGGGTCGGTCTCCGCGTTCTAATGAAAAGGTTGTCAAACCGTTCGTCGTTTACTCAAATAGTGTAATAATGTCGCTTTCCGAACATATCCCACAGACATCGTTTTTGCAAGTTATTTAGAACAGCTTCCTATAGTTTCAGAACTATAGACAATGAGGTAAATTAACAGACATTAACACATTTCAAAGATGGTATTTTTTATATAAGTTCCTATAGTGTAATGTTCCATTCTGTAACTCATACAACAACGGTCAGATTTACTGATGTCAGTTCGGTGCTTCAATGCAACTGAAGATTTATCGTGAAGTAGAGAAACCAGAACCAATCAGAGAAAAGACCAGACAATGTGTCTCTTCCGTAACTGCAGCTATTGCTTCAATAAAGCAGGTATAGTTAACCGATAGTTAGACGGTAAGTCCAAATCATCGTTGCGTCATAAGTTCGTATAATGACACTAATCGTGTAATGGAAACTGACAGACCTCAACGAAGAGCCGCAATCACCGTGAATCGGAATACTGTCTCATACGCGGTTCCCACGAACATTTTCCTTCTAATAATTCCCCGTGCTTTCACTATTAAGACCGTTGCAAAACTAACCCAGGCTTCTGACAGATGAGGTGCTGAAATGCTCCGTCATCGAAGGCCACTTCCAGCAACCTGCTTTCGCATGATCTTCTTTCTCACAATGACACTTTAACCAGCCTCTACAGTCGCTACACCTGAGTCAAGTAAGTTTACACGTAGAATGGCGCCACTCTGTAATCCCTTGCTTCCGTGACGGCCAATTTCGTATTTTCGTTCTCCTTTGGCTGGTGAAAAACGAACCACACAGCAGGTCATTTCCGAATACCGACATTGAGTCTGGGTTGCATTGGCTCTAAATAAAGAACCTCAACGGTATGAGAACTATGTGATCGAGTATGTGACAGAAATGGCCGTAAAAATCGCCCTCACAATTCACACTTAGGTCAGCTTGTGAGAGAGCATGATCAGTTAAATTTCAGGCGATAATTGGTGAATGCGCAATGCTTTTCAATTTGTGAACTGTTCGCTATCATAGACCAGTTTCTTTATGATCACAATGTGCACGACAGAGTCGGTCATTGCTGCTTCTTACTCCTCCTCTGTGGATTATAAAGAGAACCACAAGCGACTGATATGCAGTGGGAACGGAGGATAGGGGGAGGGAGGTGGAGGTAGTACGGCCAATCGAAGTTTCACTTGGTTCGACACATTTAAGACGGATTTCTTGGCAGATATTAGTGTTGCACCTTGGTATTGCATGTTGCATGAATTTCGTTGAAAACCAAGACAACGCTTACTTATGTACCACGTCGAATAGTTGATGGGGTCGCGATCCTCCAACGGCGAGTGCATCCTGTCTTCGATGGACGAATCTCTGCCGAAAAGCATCTCACGCAGAACAGCTGGCGCCGTGCACACGAAAGACGACTTCAGAGCACCTGCGCCACGGTAAAACAGAACGCCCTGATCCGGTGAAGACAAGACTTAGAGACAGAGTGCGCGTGCGCCTCGCAGCGCGCTGATCTGAGGAAGGACAATTTCGAGCGAATGATTTCTTAAGGAAATTAAACGGTCATTTATGTATGACAACGATCAATCACAATTTGCCAGCTTCGCAACGGGTGGCGCGTCGCAGGCAAACGAAAAAGAGGGCCGTCGATCACGTCTCGAATAATTAGGTAAACACCATCGTGCCGTTTGTTGGCTGCCAATAGAAGGCAACTATCGATCGGATCGGACAGTGGTCAGTCGACGCACGCATGCTCGCAATATACCCGCTATACAGTGCTGCACAGCAGGCGATGGTCTGCTGTCTTCTGTCTACTAGCAACATCAACCATCGGGACTTCATGGTCCCCCTTCTTTGTTTCTTCTACTCGACAACTTCTTCAACTACTGAAGCATGAGACACGTGACGGCGCTGAACGTCACGGCGATTGCGTCATGCAATCGTAACCGCTTTTGTTGCCGGATCGCTGCTTTGAGGGGAAATTCAAAGCGAAGCGATCACCGATGATATCCGGCGATTGGCGAGCGGCGATTATGGCAGAAAATTATTGCTGTTACCAAGCAGGTGGCAGGTGCTCGCAAGCCTGACGTCCGTCGATGGAGCATCTACATAATTCAGTGCACTCGTTACGCGTCATCGA